TTTAATAATAAAATTAAAATTAATTAATAATTTCTTAATTAATTCTAAATATTTCAGTATTGAGTTCGAAAAAAAATTCGAAAGACTGTAGCAAATATAAAAAATGCGAAAAAGAAGAAAAACCCATTTGTGTTTTAGATAAAATCAATGTTTGCTTCAAGCATTTCGACTCAAAGTGCGATATGAAGTACTCAGCCTGCCAATATGATAAAGGTAAGATACCAGCCTGTATTAATTAGAAAAAGTTAATATAAATACTATTCAATCCTATATAATTCCATTCCAGAATATATTATTTATGTAGAAGCTTATTGTGATTTAACTACATTTATGTGTGAGCCAGAGCTTGAAGAATACCTCAATGAATGGTCGGCAACCGAGAATATAAATGAAACAATCTATAGTATCTATAAAACAACTGAAAATCCAAACTCATTACTAAATAATATAGAAAATAATTATTAATATATGTATTAAAATTGATTTCTTTCGAATAAATTTATTCATATTTAAACTTACCAATTACATTTTATGTAATAATATATAGCATAACTTGAGTTCAATAGTGTTGAGCCATTAAGATGTTTAAGCAGCCTGAGTTTATAGTCAACATGGAATATGTTCGTCTCATCTGATATTGGAAAATCTACAGAAAAGTTGAGGTCTACATTGGCTAGACTTTGGCAAAATTTTTACATACACTCACACTTTCTTACCAACGAATACTAATTTTTGTTTGTAAACAAAATTCAAGTGTAATAGGTATTTAGTTCCCCTACGCCTACCTTCCTTCTTTCTACACTACACACATACTTTCTGGCTTAGATTATTTCATTTCAACGCATGATCTTTGAATTCATTTTTAAAAAACCCCTCTTTATATGGGGCTATCCTGGACTTAATGTCAATATTGGATCCTTCGTACTGGAATTAAGAGTAATTAAACTTAAAATAAGGTATTGATATTCGACATATAACACAATAACAAAGAATCTTCTGTATTCTTTGGAAGATTAATGTCCCCTTCGCATTAGCAATAAGTTTTAAATTAATTGAAACAATGAACTGTATGAGCTGTACCATAACATTGTCTTAGTCATAGTTGAGCTTCTTCGCTGGCTTGGTCATGTCGTGTGAATGGAAGAAAATGCTCTGGTTAGAAAGGTGTTTAATTCAGTGCCCACTGCTGGAAAAAGCGATTGCAGACATTTGCATCTTTGGTGGATGGATCAGGTGCCCAAAATAAAAAGCACTCGGTACTACCAACTGACGACTGCAAGCCACTGATCGGTCTGGCTGGAGGAGGTTACTGGACTCGACCAAGTACAACTCACGTGAAAATGGGCAATTAACAACAGCAATAACATCCTTTATACTATACCACAACCATGTTTCACTTAAATTTAAATATTTTTTAATCAATACACGTAATTATGTATATCATTGTCATTATTAATATATTCACTCCTTTTCATGACCAAAAAAGATAATCCATCGTTCATACTTGCCTTCGCATAGATAAGTATCCATTGCACAATAAACGTCACTCGCATCTATATAGCCCAATATAGGATAATAAAATATTAATAAATCGAACAAAAATGACTTTAGAAATCAAATATATATAGTCGACTTACGTTTCCCTAATATGCATTCTTACACTTTCATGTAACTCTACAATTCATACATTCGTATGTAGCCCTCTTCAACGTCATGTCTGCAGATGGCGCTATCATCGGTAGCAAAACATATATTTCCGAGATTAACTAAAAAAGTTATTTTTGGTAAAAATAATTATATTATTTTATTTAATTTATAATAAATATTTATATTTATTTTTTTTATAATAAGACAATGTATAATTACTTGCAACAAATGAACAATACACAACGAACAGAATCGTTATAACAATTTTAATTATTCTACAAAATTTCAATTAAAAACCGCAAATTGAATTCGTTCTACAAATAACAATAAAATTAAACCGAGATTATTAACTATTAGATTATTAATTGTTGGATTATATAACTATTAGATTATTAAAACCATATGTGTTATATATTCAGAGTTCTACAACTTTATCACGTATGGTTTTTAGTTTAACGAAAGTGTATGTATATTATATATTTTATTTTGCCTTTTAATGAAAATCTGGTATACATATTAAGTAAGTATATTATATACTTGGTATATTTATTAAATATTAGTTCAAAAACTGTGGACTGCAGCACCATATCTTGAATGTATTCAAACTAAACCCTTCATTTTATAGTACATTTATTTATACAACCTTACACAGTCATAATTGGATATTAATAAATTCGCATCCAATAGTTTTTTATAAAGTTCCTTTTTACATATCCAATATCGTTATCAACATTCTCATTTAGCTATATGATAAACAGTTGTCACTTATAAATGGTGTCAATTCGCAATTCGCAACACGCACACAAACCTAAGTCCAATCGACCTTTAGATCCGCTCCATAAAAGTGGCTAAATCACGCACTTGACATGAAGTCACTTATCTGTTTTCCTACCCCAACGCGCAAGCCAACCTATGTCCAATCGACTTTTGGACCCGTTCGATAGAAGTGGCTAGGTTTGCCTGTCTTAATCCTAATTGACTTCAATTTAAATCACACCCAGTTTTCTCGTAGCTAATGGGGCTCAATGAGACACCACATACAGTTTCAAAAAATAATAATCCATTGTTTTTTAAATAGATTCTGCTGCTATCTCTATATTAGAACACATTATTCATCTGTCCAAATCTTCATTTATCTACTAACTGAAGTTTCGTCACTGTCATGACTCCATATGCATTTACATGGTTATAGACCCATGGCCACGGTGTATTGCCTAATGACAATACCCGAACACGGTGCGATACTTTAGCAAAAAAAAAACTGTGATTGCCAGTTAGAGCGCTATTTTAACATACTATATAATTTCCACAAAATGGGTTTATATGATATTCATTGGTTCAATTATACGCCTGATGCCTGACACTCGCTGTCAAAAATTTAGATAATAAGAATTTAGATAGTAAATTTAGATAGATAAAAAAATGTTTACCACTTTTTTTTAATAAGTCAAATATGTATGATTTATTGATGAGTATTCACATTTAGATAGAAAAATTGTTATACACTATACCAATACACTATATTCGTTATTATTATCATGAGATAAAATAATATTTAAATATATAAAAAATTTTATAGCAGAGATTAGAACTATCACTAACATTAAATATATATTTCATAATTGCATAAGTCTTATTTTGAAAATATATTCAATTAACAAAAATTTTGTTTAAAAATATCTATAAAATTTATATAATATATAATAAAATAATAAATAAATAAAACAATAAAATAACATTTAATGTTACTTAAGAAATTAATTCTTATAAAAGGAATGATACTTAAAAGCTTTGTGTTAATTGTAAGATCTCAGATATATTTTTACTATATAAAATTATTATAATTGTTTGTAGTAATACAATTTTTAGTAATATAAATTTTTTGTTTTTACTTATTACAACATCAATTTTTTAATATTTCTTTTTTATTTTTAATATAGCTATTTATTTTTACAACATTTAAGAAATTTCAATATATGATATTTTATAGTAGTAAAATTTTTTAATACTTTACTATGAGCGAAAATTTTAATAAAAAATTTTAATGTACTTGTTTTATTATATCTTATTAGTTTATAAATATTTTGTATGTTTATTATAAATTATTTAAATAAGCTATTTCGTAGATATACGACAGACTTTAATTTATTTGACTGAGTTTTTAATTTAACTGCGGTTGCCAGTTTTATATTTTATAATTAAAAAAATTAGTGCTTCAGTTTTACTGTTAAACATGAATATTTAAAACTATTTATTGAGTAGTTTACTTGAAAATTTTTTTAATTTTTTTAAACTTCAATCAGAAATATTTCTGATCTTAATGATATGGACATCATTTTTACGTTACATCTACTTTGATAATAAATTAAATTAAGCTTTATGTGTATTTATATCAGAATTTTATCAGTAATATATATTAATAAAAATCTCGCGGTATTATTAAAGAAAGACAGAAGTTTTAGATATTATAAACGTTTAAATGAATCATGTATATATACGAGTAAAAAGTTTGAATTTAGGAAAAATGCCTTTAAATAAAAACTGAATTTTCTTATTTAAAACATCCATCTTATAAAATTTAATTATCTGTAGAAGTATAATAGATCTGTAGAAGAGTATTACTTATATATAAATACACATCATCATTTTTTATTTTAAATATAATGTCAAATTACCTACATTTCTATAAATACCACGCGAAACTATTACAGTATTTTAAAATAAAATAACAAAATAAGATAAAATAAAATAAAATAAAATAAAATAAAATAAAATAAAATAAAACTAAGAATAAATTAAAAATATATTTAAAAAACTGAAAATAGAAAATTCAAGTTGTTAGGAGTTGATTATAATTTAACAATCGATTAATTTAAACTAAATTCATATTAAAAAATAACAAAAAAAATAGTATTTATACTTATAAGTTTTTCGAAATAAAGTTATTCTATAAACTACATTTTGAAATTATAAAATATAGACACATTGAAGAGTATTCTGAGAAGTCTTAATAGTGGATTATATATAAAAAGCAAGTCCATTAAATGATTCGCACATACATTTCGTGTATAATAATATTGTTATACCTATATACCATTTTTTTCAGATTAGTAGTTTTAAGTCTGATATTTTTTGTTCAATACATTTATAAACAATAATTACAAAAATTATTCGTCATTACATTAAAATTATATTAAAATAATAGTTTAAATAATTGTCTTAAAAATAATTAACATATGCAACATATATATAAAGTTAATATAAAGTTAAATTAGCGTTAAAGCAAAGTAATATTAATAATAATAATAATGAAATGTTCACAGCATTAATACAATTAAATGTAAATATCAGCATTTATAATTAACTTATTAAAATAAAATAAAAAGCCAAAATAGCTTTCACATCTTTCCAATAAAAACAGCCTAGACTTATAATGTAAGTTCTAAATATAAGAACTGATTAAGAGAGCAGAGATAAACTAATTTGTCCATTATTAATTCATGTTGCAGTAAATTAATAAAATATGTTATCCTGGGCTGCTTTAAATTATTCACTCTCTAAATAACATGAATCTGAACGTTTCTCATATTTTAAATATTTCAAATTAATCTTAAGCCGTCTTAACTAACGTCTCTTTTTCTTTTCTAGCTTACGGAGTCGGTGCAAACGGCGAAGTGGCAAACTTTCAGGAAGCTTTATCTCCTAAAAATAAAAACAAAATTAATAATTAATATGTAAAACAATTCATGATAAATAAAAATTAGAAAAAAAAATTTATTGTTTTTAACATATTCCGCTCTAACATTCAATGAAACCATTTGAGAGGTTAGCCTATCTACAAAAGACTCTCTCTCTTGCAGAAATAATAATTCTCAGGCATGTTACTTTCAGGTATTAACTGACTAAAAGATTTAGTAGGTTTTTATTTTTTTTATAATATTTTGCCAAGTCAATTAAGAAACCTAATTGAATAATTTTTATTTGAATTCTTTATGGATTTTGCATGAAAAATAGCACATATTGCTTTACATAAGCCGAGTCGACTTGCAAGAGTGTAAACAAACTGGGATATAACATTTTCTATCTCTTGTTTGAGGATTCTTGGCGAAAGCGACACACTTTTCGAAATCTAGAATGGATCTCTATGAAGAGTTTGTCCGATCTTTTTGTTTTTCCTGCACTTTTCTTCCTTCGCAAACGGTTTTAAATTTGTTAGTTGCCAGAAGCGTTTGATAAATATGATGCTTGTCCAGCAGATGTCGATTATATGACATCTATTAACGACATCTTATAGTCTTTACGAGAAGCAACTAATTGCGACGAACGTCGTAATGTCCAACTAAAATTCTTTTTTCCCCATGTCACGTTTTAATCAAGCAAACTAAACTTACTTAATGCACTTGTTTGTCACAATCTCCAACGAGAAATAATTAGATATGCAAAATTATAACATTATACTGAAATGTTTATCATTATCAAGTTAAGTTATACCGGCGATACAAAGAATCCACTCAGGCCTATTGGCTCATTATGTTATTACTAATATTTTTATAATTTATAGTATTTATTATGAAGTATTTTTAACATGTTCTTCACAATGATAATGCAATATTTTACTTACTTCACCGTGCTCACTATTTTGGTCGTCTTCAGGATGCATGAAGGTAGAAGTTACTATAAACAATTCAAACATTGCACCAAGAAATAATCCAATAACCAGAAATTTCGCAAAAAAGTTGTCACCAACATACACTTCTCCAGATTCAAGATAGTCATTTGAATCGGCGTCAGAGTACATGTTTAAGTTTGATTTTAATATATATATATTATCAATATAAACAATCAATTAAAATTTCTATTAGTTTATCTCTTAGAAAATTTCTTTCAGTAACTTTAAATGGTAGAGAAATAATGAACAGAGTTGCATTTTGGTAAATTTTTTTAACAATTTTGTTAAGTAGCAGATATAAATCTTTTCTATGTGAACAAACATTTATTTTAACACAATTATTATTGCATTTTAAAATAATGTTTATATATCATAAAATAAATTAATGTTGATCAATAAATTTAAACATTTATTGTAATAATATTTTGTGTTTAACTTATTCTAATAAATCGAACTTATCAGCTTGAAAATCTACTTTGAAAAACAATTATATTTCAATTAGTTTATTATAAGTAAATGGAATTATGTTTACAATGTCGTAATTTACGCATTTTCCTAAATAACTTAGTAAATATGTATCATTTATTTGTTGAAGAGGTTTTTCGAACAGTAGTGAACTACAACTACAAAAATTTGTATTTTTTATATTATTTTAATTAATTGAATTTTTGGCTGACCATACAGCTGTTTCTAGAATTGCCAAATACCATCATCAGTGGTCTTGGAAATAATTCTTGTATTTAATAATTCATAAATAATTATTTTTGAGACTGCAAGTACCAGGAATCGAGCTCGGGTCCTGCCAAATGTGAAGCTCAGAATCAGCGCACCTTAACCAACTGATCCAAAGCCGCACTTGGATCAAATTTCAATACTATTCTGCTCGTAGAGGCATTATTTGTTGCATGATTTGTTCTTTCTTATGTATAGAGCATTAGGAACGTAATGCTGTGTAATTCAAGCAAATGAAAGCCCGCTAACGTTGTGTGTGAACATTTGAGCTTAAATAATAAACTTTTGCGAACTTCAATAACTAAAGTTCATGATGAGCCTCATTACAATATTTTTCTTAAATACTCAACTGGTTCAAAATTGTTACAATGTTAAAGTGTTAAATGTGTACTAAAAGACTTAAACGAAATGTGAATATATAACTTTACAGCATATTAACATGTCGCAATGGATGCTAATTTGGAAAATTGCTAAAATCAAGTTATTGAATGAGTTGTTACTAATTTATTTGTATGCAATTTTTTGCGAGTGTTTTTAAAATTTTCTACAACCTCTACTATAATCACAAAAAACTTTATAACCGCAAAATATACGTTCAGGATAATTGCATATTGCAATAAAACATATTTTTAGCACAACTTTAGCCAACTGAAAATTATTGGGAAATAAGCAATTTATAATACTTTACAATGCATTATAAATTTAACATTTGCCAACACTACTAATTTATTTAGCTATTGCACTTCGTATTTAAATCAGCTGATTATTGGTTGTGTGATATTATGTGAGCGTAGTAAATCTGTTAAGATTAAAGCGGCATAAAAAATATAAAAATTTTAATATATATACATACAGTTTTAAATATTATTATTAAATATTATTATTAATCTAGTCATGTCAACTTATCGGTTAGCCACTACAAACATTAGCCGACAGGTTGCTACGCTATCCCGACATCAACGTGTGCTACCGCCGCGAAATGGTCTAACCATTTGTCGACAATTGGCTACAAAAGTAGGACCACCGAAAGGCACAAGTACTTTTAAACTAGCATTAATTGGTGCTACTCTGGGTGGAGCTTCAGGGACGGCATATACATTGTATAATAACTGGAGAGATAAAAATGCGCATATGGAACACGAACGTACTCCCCCACAAGTAATAGATGCATTACCAGATAATATTAGAATAACCAAGCGATATGTAAACCCAAAAGATAAATCAGGATTGGAAATAATTTTATTCCAATTTCAAACATGTCCTTTCTGCTGTAAAGTGCGCTCTTTTCTTGACTATATGGGTATATCTTATGCAGTAGTAGAAGTGGATGCAGTTTTGCGACAAGATATCAAATGGTCAAAACAAAAAAAAGTGCCGACTGTACTTATACGCCAACAAGATGGCAAATATGTGCAAATGTGTGATTCTAGTGCTATTATATCGCTAATATCAACTTATTTAAATGATAAACACACTGACATTGGTGAATTGGCGCAATTTTATCCAACAATATCTTATTTCGATGACAATGGCAAAAAGATTAGGGATATATTAAATAAATACTTTTTAATGTACCAGGAGAAAACACCAAAAAATTTCACCAAAGAAATGGAAGAGTAAGTCAAATTTTTATTTTCATTTATTTTCAATAAAATTAAAAAAAAAATTTTTCCAGGAGTGAACGCAAATGGCGTACTTGGGCTGATAACCATTTAGTACATCTTATATCACCAAATTGCTATCAAACTTTAGGTGAAGCCTTTGAAACTTTTGATTGGTTTTCAGAGGCTGGCGAATGGGATGTACATTTTCCTAAATGGGAACGCAATCTTATGGTTTACGTTGGCGCAAGTGGTAAACGATTTTATATAAAATATTCTGATTTATTGTGAACAACTTCTATTTTATTTTAAGCTATGTGGGGTATAAGTAAAATGCTTAAACGAAGGCATGGCCTTTCAGACGATGTGCGCTCACATATTTATGACGCACTTGATAAATGGACGCGGGAAATAAAAAAACGTAAAACACAATTTATGGGTGGCAAGGAACCAAACTTAGCTGATTTATCTGTTTTTGGTGTGTTAAGTAGCATGGAAGGATGCCAAGCCTTTAAAGATTGTTTAGAGAATACGAATATCGGTAAATAGAGTTTTATTTATTTTTTTTTATAAGAATATTTAAAAATAAATTATTCTGTAACAGGTGAATGGTTTTATGGCGTAAAACAAAAGATCGATAAAAACAAAGGCAATCTGATACGGGAACGTATTGAAGGAGAAGTTCTTAAAGCTGAATTTATTAGTAACAAATGAATAATGAAGCTGTAACTGAATTGTTTACTCTATTGTTGTTTAATTCCGTACCTACAATAAAACTATTTATATAATAACATGAAAAAATACATATTTGTTTGATCAACTTTTTTATTTAAAAAATTATATATGAGTTTTAAAAAAATTTATATTGCGTATAACGCTAATAAATAGCCACGTTTATTTGGCGGTACAAGAAAGTTAAGTTATACCGACGATACCTAGTGGATCCACTTAGGCGTATTGGCCCATTGTGCTACCGTATATATAAGGTGAAAACTCAGGGTTTAAAACCACGTAGAACCTTTTGCGAAACATAAAATGCTATTTAAAGTCAGGTCCTGTAACTGGTTCAGGTCCTCAAGGAAGGGGGTTCCTAAAGTATTACGTCGATGCCGCGCATGAGCTGGGCAAATTTTATTAGTCCAAAAATTTATTTAATTAAAATTTAAATGTTTGAATTATTATCCCTTATTTTATTTATTTAGAAATGGAAAACATTATTAAGAAATATTACGTTGTATTAGGAGCACCAAGTAAAATTAATCTATTTTATTCATGTTTTTTTGTAAATATTTATTAATTTAATTCATGTAAATAAATTAGTATAAAAATCAACTAATCTTTAAAATAATATAAGAATTGTAATTATCTTTTTATATTTCTTGTCCTGATGATGACTCTCAAGAAGGTTTGAAATATAGAATTTTAAAAAAATATATAATAAACATTTAATTTTAAAAATGGTGTCCTATCGCAAGAACTAAAATATATAAAAAAAATATTATTAATCTATTTTTTTTTCGGAAAGCTTCGTATGAGACGTGCACCCACTAAAGCAACTTTTAGGAACGCAAAATGGATTAATTTCGATCATTGTAAAAGTAAAAAAAGTCAAATGCTGAAACTCTCTTCCAGTGTTTAGGGTGTGGAGCGCACTTTAGAACACAACCAATATATTTAAACCCTGAAAATAATAAATTTCTTTTATTTAGAACTCATAAATATTTGCGCTGAAAAATAGTTTAAAAATGTAACAATTTTCCTCAGTTCCTCGCTATAATTCTATAGTTTTTTATTTCAATATTTCTTGAAAAATCCATTCAATAGCTCAAATTCGGGTCATAGAAATTTAACACCATATTTGGGTGCTTATGAATGTGTGAACAGTAATAGGTGATATTTTTTAATATATTTTCATACATAATTTATTAAATTATTATTTATAATTCAGTAAATATTTTTAATTTTTTTGTAATTATTTCTTAAATATATGACATAGATATTGGGAAGTAAAGGGGCTTTTTACCATGGCGACGTATTTTACTATTAATTGTCCAAATATCTAATTATTTTACTAGTTTATTTACTATTTAAAAAATAATAAATTAAAATAAAATAATAATTATTAATTATAAAGAAAACGCTCTTATAAAAAAATTAAATTGTGTCAAGTATACCTTATGTTACATGTGTCAGTGAGTTTTAATATAGTTGGCAACGCGGATTTACGCCAAGTGTCAAACAAAAAATCATTTGTCATCTCGTTAGACGCAAAACTCTCAAATCGCCGGAGAAATTGCTAAATCATTTTTAATCTAAAATATATTTAATAATAACATAAATTTTGTTAACAATAATGTTTGCAAACATGTTGAATAAGAGTGCTGCACCAATGCCATATGCTGAAGCACCTGGTATACAACGTTATGATTTCTCACCATACGAATCCAATGGAGGGTAAGCACATATTTAAAGGTTACTTAATGAATATATCATATTTAGTTCAAATTAATTTTATTATTTTAGTTCCATTGTTGCTATTGGTGGGGATGATTTTGTTGTTATTGGTGCCGATACACGTCTGAGTACTGGATATTCTATACACACTCGTGATCAAAATAAGATTTTCAAATTGACACCCAATACTGTTTTGGGTTCAACTGGTTGCTGGTGTGATTCGCTAGCTTTGACCAGTTTATTACGTGCCCGTGTACAAATGTATGAGCATTCACATTTGAAGACTATTTCTACTGATGCTATCGCTCAATTATTGTCAGTACTTATGTACAGTAAACGTTTCTTTCCATACTACGTGTCTAACATATTAGCTGGTCTCGACAACGAGGGTAAAGGTATTGTTTATTCATATGATCCAATTGGTCATTGTGAACGTACCAAATATCGTGCTGGCGGTTCAGCTGGTGCACTATTACAACCAGTTCTAGATAATCTAATTGGTTATAAAAACATGAACATCGATGAGATTCCACCGATTTCATTGGAACGCGCTATCTCTGTCACTACAGATGTTTTCATTTCAGCTGCTGAACGTGATATTTACACTGGTGATGCGGTTCTAATAAACATTATCACTAAAGATGGTGTTGAAGTGAAAGAAATTGCACTACGTAAAGATTAAGCGTCAGAGAAAAATTGAGTTTAACAAATCGAAATTTTGTAATATGAAATAAAATTAGTTTTCTTTATATGTGCGGTGATTTTTAAAAGTTCTATAAAACATATATTATATGATTAAAAGCTGATTTTTAATTATTAACTGTTAAGTGAACATTATTTTATCCAAGATTGTAGTGATAATTTATTTAAACTAACACTATTAGTTATGCTATGGCAACTATAGTTCCACCAGTGCCTGTAAATAAAGCAGTATATTCCAGTAATCTAAGATTCTATAAAATCTAAAAAACTTTTAAATCTAAAATTGAATCAAAGCATTAGAAAAAATGCATTTTTAATTAATATCGAATAACCAGCTTTTGGTATATTAGAGAAGAGTATTTCGGATGATGTATAACTCTGCTGATCGATATGCTATATGAAATCTGAATCAATCATGAGTTTTATAATAACAAATTGATATTGAAGTAGTGGTCGACAAAGTTTTGTAAACCTGATGAAGACGATGATGATGAGATACAATATTTATTTGATCTAATCGGAGTTATTGCCAAATCTATGACAAGGCATAAGAGAAAGAATGATAATAATATTAACGAGTAGTTATACTCTTACGTGAATCTATAAAATAATTTATGTTATCACTTAAAATTAGATAATATATATATATCAGATAATTTAATACCAAATTCTGTTATGAGTTTCTTCGAGAATTTTCGAAGCCGAGGACATGTCCATTTGTATTGTATTTTGTAGAATTTATGAAGAAGCCTTCTTCTTTCTACTTGAGGTTTGAATGCCATTACGTCATCGAAGAAGAATGATTCTTGGACGTATAATCGATTGCTTCTGGATTCAGTGAGTCGGATTCAAATATTTTGTCATATTTTACCTCTTCTGTTGTTAGAGACCAAGTTATTCTGTAAATCAAGCACATTTAGTGATCTCAAAACATGCAAATTGGATAAGGATACTCCTTTACTCTCACCTGAAGTGAAGAAAATAAATATATGAGAACAGTAAGAAAATAGATATATAAGAATATTTATTCTGGGTGCATAAGGTTGAATCATAAGGTTGAATGTATCTGACACCTTACAATACTTTAATAATGGGAATTTCAGTTCCCTGATTTCAACGATCGTTTTTCAGCATTTAGGTTTCTATTGAGAAATGTGCGAAAACAGCGAAATTATGAAAAGTAAATGGAAATCTGTAGAATTACAACTGCAACCAATCGATCTGAGTTTACTTTTTTGAAAGTAATTTACCAAGAAAACTCTTTTCGTTAGTAAATTAGCCGCTTTGAAGATAATCTATAAATAAAATTCTTATCGTATCCGGAAAAACTTACGCTGACACCATCATAACCAATTAAATGATGGATCCGCTTTATTTTTTGATTACTCTTAAGCCTCTTATTTTGATTTAGGTTGATGTTGGTAGATAAAGCTTCATCTATAGAGTGATAAAATTACAAACAAAATCACTCACTTCTTGCATTGTACAATTTTTGTAGATCTTGTAATCCGACTTAAAGCTTCAAGCTCCAACAGCACTTAAGAAATCTATCCAGAAAAAAGTAAACACAGAATAAAATGTGGAGAAAGCTAATGGTATATAGGAAGGAGGAAGTATGAGAAACGATACAAGCAAATTTCTTATTGAACTTTAAACGCTATTTCGATTTCCCGGGCAAGACTACTTCATTGTTGTTAAGTTTTCTAAATATCAAGCTTTAAAACAACCTTTTTTTTATGAAAACTATCAACGAAAAATAGACACGTCATTTATTTGTCTATTTGTTGTTACTCGTCATTTATGAAATCAATGTAAAAATTGCTTATACTATAAAAATAGTTGGCGTTAGATACCGTTTTATTTCTGTTTGTGTAATTCAATGTAAACATTTATTATTTTAAATCTTGCTATCTCAAAACGTTAACTACACTGGCACATAGTGCATAGGAATAGGTTCCACCAAATAGTCGACCGTGTGTCGTTACGTCTCACTGGCTATGTCTCATGTCCAGTAGCCTCTTCCAGCTAGCCCAATTAGTGGCTTCCTGTCACCAGTTGGTGGTTTTGAGTGCTTTCATATTTTTGGTCACCTGAGCATTCCATCAAAAATGCGTATGTTCTCTGCGGCATATTTCATCAGCGAGTACCACTGGTCAAACACCTTTCTAGCCAAAGCATTTTTTTAGAAACTACTTTCCTTTTTTTCATTTACCACAGAACATATGTTATTTGCTTCGCTTGTTTTACTAAGTTTACTGACAGCGCGGGTGCTCAGCCCAACAATATCAATATTGTCGGCATATGGAAACCGACGATATGATGATGATGATTATGAGACTTTTGTAAAGTATTGGTCCAGGATGGTTCGGAGTATCGTATCATATAAACGCCAGATTGAAAAAATCACTTGACAATCACCTATCTGAAACATCATTTGATATCAGTTGGGTCGAAGATGTTCTTGCCAATTCTAACGGAACTGGTTTACTAAAATACGTTATCAAACCAGCATGTCCGGGATATCTAAATTACGCTAATTCTAACCGCATGATGAACTGTTTTTGAACGTTTATTAACATATTGCAAGCATTAGTGGTATTCACGATCTTGAGTAATGAATATGGTAACCGAGTAACAGAGTAAATCGGCAGCTACAAAATATACTTACTTGAGATGTATTTATTGGTTACCGGATACCGAGATCGTAAGTTTCACTTTTGTATTTAAATGATCGATCAAAATTGTAACTCTAAAAAGTTTCTCATATTTATGGAAGCTATTTTCAGATACGCAAATATTATGTATACTATATTTGAATTGCCTTTTATACTCTCCAAAACTGGAATAAGATATATGGCAAATTATTGAATTTCTGTGTAAATAGAGTTTAACTTTTAACTGATAAACTATTTACTCAGTTAATTATTAATTGGAAAATAAATAAAGAATAGCAATGCTGGCAGCAGCCAACTTACTAGGCAAAATATGCGAAAAGCTATTAGTAACAAAAAATTGTACTGATTTATTAGAACAACAAATAATGAAAAAAAAATCATATGTACGAGTATTCCGCTTTCTTTTCGCTAACTACGACGTAATCAAAATTTATCATGTGTGCAAATGATTTATTTAATGTTTTTTTTTTCTTTTTGTTTTTGTTATGCTAGTGCCACATGTTGCCCCCCTTTACACCCTAACAGTAACCACCCACTGTAAATTGCAAAAAAAAAAAAATTAGGTAATTTACAAATTTAAAATGTTGATAAATTATTTCTTTTATTAAATGTTGTGAATGTGAATAGGTTTTTTTTTTGTTTCTTATTTTCATAATAAAAAATTTAATATAATCAAAATAACAAATTATTGTATTATAATCTTTTTTATTTATATTTTAAATAAGTTATATAAATTAATTTAAAAAAAATTAAATTTAACAATTTTGCAGTTTATTTTGTTTTTAATTTTAAATATTGTTTATACTTCGAAATAATTTATAACTAAAAATAATCGTTAAAATTGTATAACTCGCTAATATATATATAATTATTGGGTTACTATAGAAATTCAATTATTTAAAACACAAAATAGTAACATCATTTAAGAGTAATAATAATAATATAAATAAGAATAATAATCATAAAAAAGAAGGTATGCCAATTTATTAAAAAAAAAAACAATTAAAAATGGGCTGCTCTCAGGCCCCTTAATTTTTAAGGTTACAATGTATTTTGTTTTGTTTTTGGTGGTTTGTAACTCATAGACCTCACCGTAAGCAGTGAACCTTTTTCATTTGTTTACATACATATATATATTTACGTATATATTGTATACATATATATACATTAAAAATTCAAAATCAATTAAAAATTATAATAAATTCATAAAAATAAATACAATTTAGTTTAGTTTTGCATTTGTTCAGAAATTCTTATTATTTTCGTTTTTTTATTTTTTATTTCTATTATATATTATTTAATAGTTTTAGTTTTTTTTTTTGTTTGTTTGTTATTAATTTAATTTTTTCCAAGCCAAATATATATATAATCAAAAAGAATTTTAAGCAAATTTTTTTATTCCGCCTTGGGCACTTGTAAATTCGTTATCGTAATTATTATAATTTTAACTTTAATAATTTTTTAATTTAATTTTAATTTTAGCATACATATTTTAAAATTTCGTTTTTTTTCTTTTAGTTTTTGTTTTTTGTTTTTTGCTCTGTTAAAAAATATACTTTAGTTTTGGACATTTTAAGTGTTTTGTAAAAATAATATTTATTTTTAGTTGCGGCAATTCAATACTAAAATATTTGTTTACAATAATGCAGTTAAATTTGTTTTATTTATTTATTTTTTTGTTTTTAGTCAAAATACAATCAAAACCCGTCTATGGTTTTAATGTGAGTAAGTTAAAAAGTCTCAAAGTGTAGATACTTTCAGTTGAATAAATAAATTAAAGTGATTATTAGGTTAATAAATACTTTTTTAAAGTAAGTTCAAACATAGTCAACGCAGTTGAAACTTAAAGACTGTTCTGCGAAACTTTAAAAAAAAAGATTTAAATAAATAAAACACATATAAAAAATATCAGTTTTTAAATTCATAATATTGTTAAATAATATTTATTAAATATTAAATGATGCAAAGATAGACTTTTTCTAGCGCTATTATGAGTTGCATATATATAAATAAATATATATTTACACATATGGTTGATATGCATTTTATGAGAATTGTTTATATCTTTAAAATATATTTCAATTTCATTTAATTATCGTACTAAAAGTTACTCAAAGTGATAACAGATATAATAGATGATATACTATAATAGACTAAATAGACTATAATAGATTATAATGGACTATAATAGACTATAATAGACTATAATAGATTATAATAGACTATATAGACTATAATAGACTACAATAGACTACAATAGACTACAATAGACTATATAGAGTATAATAGACTATAACAGACTATAATAGACTATAATAGACTATATAGACTATAATAGACGAAATAGACTATAATAGACTATATTTATATTTAATTATCGTACTAAAAGTTACTCAAAGTGATAACAGATATAATAGATGATGTACTATAATAGACTAAATAGACTATATAGACCATAATAGACTATATAGAACATAATAGACTATATAGACCATAATAGACTATATGGACTATAATATTTATATTTAATTATCGTAATAAAAGTTACACAAAGTATAACAGATAAAATAGATGATCTACTATAATAGACTAATTAGACTATAATAGACCATATAGACTATAATAAACACTAATAAATTACCCAATCTCTCTTAAGAACCGTAAATATGTTGCTCAAACTAAATTGACTTGCAGGGTGCTGTATTAGTAGTCAAAAACGAAACAGCTATCAGGAGTGGTGATGTTTAGAGTTAATATTTATGGATTACCTTGAAAAAGGTAACAATACTATTAAAGAATAAAGTATAATCCAGTGTTTTTAAACACCCGCACGCATTAAATGTTTCATCGTTCTAGAATACATATTTAAATATATATTTTAAAAAAATATTGGTAGCTGTTCTTGGAGAATAAATATTTTTTTATGAACCACAGTAAGTTTTTACCTAAAAAACATTGATCAATAATATAATTTTTAGAAAATGTTTTGAAACCAGTCTTAGCAACATAGGCTGAATATTTTTCCTAAACGCAGTATATTTGTGTTGAGAATTACTGGTAAAGCAAACGCATATATACGTTGAAATAAAATTATAAACCCGATCTCTTATAAGGTAATGAACTATGTCTTAGCCCGATTGTAGCTATACTCAGATTATATGAATTGCACTTTAAAATTCAGTCGATATAACTACGATATGTTGTTACGGCAATTTTTTCGAAAGCCTTATATAAATTTTATGGAATAGAAGAAGATATTTTTAAAGATAACTGTGGGATCACAGTGTTTAGTAATAAGAGCTATAGATCAGTACAACTAGTAGCAATTCATTTAAATGATTTAAAATTTTTCTAAAGCTATAGATAAAGACTCTTGTTAACAACTGCTTGTAGGCCAAGTAAAAAAAATTTCTAGAATTTTAATTAAATTGTTTTTAAACATAATTTTGTAAGATATTAAAAAGAATTTGAGTATAATTAAGTAGCTCTTGACTACAACTTTTTCTAGGAACTTAAAAAAATTTATAGAATTTTACATAAATAAGAAAAAAATTTTCTGGAACCATAAATGAGTCAGTTTTTGAAATAACTATTTTTAGAAGTCTAAATAATTTCTAAAATTTTAGATGGAATAACAGAAATATTATAGAAGTGTAAGTTTGAGAAATAAATTTATTTTATTACCGAAAATATTTATGAAAATATTTTATTTGGTATTACCGAAGAGCGCCATACCATTTTCGAAATTCTATTTAAGTAAATTTTGAATGCAACTTTGTAAGATTGTTAATACCTAATAGCTTTAGGGAACTATCGATCGGTAACTTTTGGAAACAACTTTGCTTGAACTTTAGAATTTTAAATAAAAATGTAAATTCTGAATTTAATTTTGCTGAACGCTTAAAATATTGCTTAACACTCAAGATGTCTTCAAAGACAATTCCAAAGTTATAAATAAGTGGTGGCCCGCAATTCACTGGAAGTTAGTAGTACACAGGGCAACATGTATGATTCCATTTAATTTAGAAAACACCCCAGGAACCTATCCCTCCTCAATTCAAGTTGTCGCACTGACTTTACGTAGCACCTCAGAATAATTACATTACACCCACTGGGTGATGAACATTAGGGCATAAACCGAATCCTATCTTCAGGACTTTGAATTTGGGTTGTGTAAGGTACTCGTCACATAAAATCTACCGTCAGTGAAGTACGAAATGAGCAAATTTTGCATACAATTTCGCGTGACAGTCTAATGAGAGAATTACAGAATTTTAAATGAATATATTTTAAATAAAATTTTGCAATATACTTAAAAAGTTTTCTGAATCTTTAGATAAGTATGTTTTGGATTAAACTTTTTTTGGAAACAATTTTGTAAGCTATTTTTTTGAAAATACGAATGACTCATTTTTAGAAATTCTCTGAGAACTGAAAAATATATGTAGAATCTTGGTTGTGTGGCTTTTAGAAACAAGGTTTTTGTTTTTGTTTGAAAATATAAATGAGTTGTTCTTGGAAATAACCTTTTCCATGAACTTAGAAGTTATCTAGAATTTTATATGAGTAGATTTTAAATATAGTTTTAAAAGCATAAATTTTATCAAATACCTTTAATTCTATTTACGATAGCACACATATGATAAACTGATAAGTTTAGAATTTATTATAAATAAAAAAACTAAAAAAACGAAATATAACTAGAATCAACTTTCAAATAATTAATTTATTTTGCAATTCTATTAAATTATTTCTCATAAAGAACAGATATATATTAAAGTCACTTCTGTTTATTGAATATTAATATATTTAAATACATATAAATACACAATAAGTTGTAATAAAAAGTGATTTAACATATATTCTATCTGAAATGCCTATCTTTTAGAATTTTATTTCAATAAAAATAAAACTTACAATTTTCAGAAAAATAGCAAAGAATATTTATATTTTAAAATACAGAATATTATATTAGTAAATATTATGGATATGCCTGTTGTTGTCTTTGTAATCCGGGTGGATCTACTACTGATTTTCTGTATATGGACATGCAAAATCTAGTAAGTATTATTAAACTTATAAGCACTTCAGTTGCAATTTCTACACATTTCAACCTTTTTAACGAGTTTTTACTGTATTCTTGTAAATACCTATTATGTTTGTTGTTTGTAGTTAAAAATTTTGTATGTTTATTGCATTTTAGGAGCATATTGATTAACATATTTATCAATAATATTTTTTACTCATAATTGCTTTGTTCTCTTATTAATATTATTTTTATATGTATATATATCATATAATATTAAAATTAAATAATTTTGATTTATTTTTAATTATTAAAACAATTTAAATGTTATTTTACCGCCATTAAATCGTAATAAACTACTCTACACAATTACTATATATATGTATGTTTATATATACATATATATATAATTATACATATACATACACATATATGTATATATTTAAAATATAATTAGTGTTTTCGATCGTAACGATCAATTTTCTTACTTACGAGTACTACAACAACACCCCAATTTTGAAGACATCCGCGTTTTGCATGGGATTTTCATTATTTATAAAATATAAATATTTTCAATTATTATTATTAGTGTTTTTTTTTTGTTTCTTTTTGTTTGCATATAATTTGTGTTTTCTTTAAATTTAATTATATTTGCATTTTGTAAAATTTAATTTTTAATTAATTATTGTATTAATTTATTTGCTTAATTATTATTAATATTTATATATACCAAGTATCTCTGTCTGTCTGTCACCTATTATAATATGTCTAGTAAATCTTTCAGTACTGCCAGGCGGCCATTCATCATCATCATCATTATCATTATCATCATTACTTTATATACATATAAGTATATTAATATTTATATATATAATAAATATGTAGTATTTTTTATTTATTTTTTCTTTTTGGCCGGCTCACTAAGCTTCAGGCAATGGCTTAAGCTCTTTTATCTGTTTGATCAGATACGCTTTCTCATCATTGAATTGCTCATCCTCAGATCGATCTGTATGGAAGTTAGTTAAAAAATCTACTAATTTGGATTGATTTCTTAACAGTATATCAAGTATAGGTTTCGGTTTATTGGGATTTGCGACGAATACCTTAAACACGTGGAAGGCCTCAAATTGTATGTTTCGCGATTTCTCTTTCAGCATATTCATCATTAATTTCAGATTTTCTGGTTCTGATATATACCTTGTCATTACACTAAAATTATGCCGATCCAGCAGCAGTTCACCGAGTAATTTTAAACTCTGACGCCGGGTCACATAATTTTCTGAATTTAATAATCTCTGATAGTGTTGTGTGAAAAACTTATCATAGTTGGCCTCTAGAAATTCGGCACACAGCAATTTGTGACGTGTCAATAGTTCTTTAAATGTCGAAAATGCATCGGAAGCAATATCAAAGGTAGAAACCTCTACATATCGGAAAAATTTAAAGAATTCTTCCGAGTGCAACATTATTTTTGCTAACGCCTCGAAACGGGCACACTCCCGCAACATTGTACCCGAATTTAATGCAATCTCGGGATGTGCATCTTCATACCCAGCCATTAGCGTAAACAATATCTCCGGTTTAGTGCAAATATACTCAACTGTGGGTGAACGTGTTCCAATCTGTCGCCGCAATACATTATTAAATATAAGCGCTACGTGTTTTTTGCCCTCGAAATCAATTCGATGCAGATTTTGTATCAGCATTAATAATAAATTACTATTATAGAGTTCCTGAGACAGTTGTGCCACAACATAATCAGCTGGCGGCTCCGCATCACTGCTGCCATATAACATATTTTTTATAGATACAAGATTTTTACTAACATCTTCTTGCGCTTTCTCTACTTTACGATCACCGCCCGTTTCTAGTGCATTAATTGCATCTTTTAATGATTTAACCAATTCGGCAGGGGTCTTTTGTGATTTTCCAAAGAGTGGCATTTTCTATGTTGTTGTTGCTGCTGTTGTTGTTTTTGTCGTAGTTGGTTTCTTTCTTTGAATTGTATGAGTGCTATTGTTTTTGTATTATTATTATTACAGCAATATAATGCAATTTGTCTCTTGAATATTACACTTTATTTATTAAAAATAATTATTTCGACAACTTTCAACAATAAACAATTCGTTTAATATAAAATTTAATTAATTCTTTTAGTACTTATATTTTAATTTTAGTCGTTCTTGGGTGTAGTTAAATCCGCGAAGAAAAATTTCTTTTTTACTTTTCTCTTGGCTTTTCTTCTCGTACTGTCAAATTACGCGGTGTGTGAAAATGAAAGAACTGTGTGTTGACATTTAAAAAGAGTGCCAATGCAGCATTCACTAAAAAGTAGTAGAAAAAATTAGTGGAAATTGTGAAATACATAATAAATGTTTTTATATATCTATATATATAAAAGAAAGTTGTGTTAGTTACACCACTTATAACTCAAGAACGGCTGAACCGATTTAGCTGAAAATTGGCAGGGAGGTAGTTTAAGGCAGGAGAAGGACATAGGATACTTTTTATCCCGTTCGACAGCATTCCCGTGTGACTTGACATGAAACGTCAGTGGTGAGAAACGACAAAGTAGGTTTTGAAATTATCAAATTTTTGATATAAGAAAATATTTTATTAAAATTTAACAGATAGAAATATAACTTAGTTAATGTGTTTTTAAAAGTTGTATTAGATCAATATAAGTTTGTGTTGCAATAAATATCGTAATTCAAAATAAGATCATTGGAACAATGTATTCATTCAAATCTATTGACTGCGTTACAAATGAAGATGAAGCCACCAACTATCCAATTGAATTTTTAAACTCTTTGGACGTGCCTGGCTTACCACCGCACAATTTACGCCTAAAGGTTGGCTCCGTAGTAATCATGCTTCGAAACATAAACCAACCAAAACTGTGCAACGGTACGCGTTTGGTGGTTAGAAAATTGATGAACAATGTAATTTACGCTACGATAATAATAGGAAAATTCAAAGGTGAGGAAGTTCTCATTCCGAGGATACCGATGATCCCAACCGATATGCCGTTTGAATTTAAAAGACTTCAATTTCCGATACGTCTCGCATTTGCCATGACCATCAACAAATCACAAGGCCAATCCTTAAAAGTTTGTGGTTTAAATCTAGAACATTCATGTTTTTCCCATGGTCAATTATACGTGGCATGTTCACGGGTCGGAAGACCATCTGCGTTGTTTGTTTTTGCGCCTGATAATAAATCAAAAAATGTCGTGTATCACAAGGTACTTAAATGAAGAGCAACCTATGTACTAAAATACACAAATAAATTATGAATGATTAATGTAGGTATTTTTTTTTTTGTATTTTTTCCAATTAAAAAAAAACTGCTTATTTATTGCCTTTAAGGCGGAACAGAGTTCGCCGGGTCATCTACTAGTTTTATAATATATAATAGTATGTTAATAAATTATTTATATTAATTTAAAAACTATTTGTAACATTTACAAGTGTATAAATAATAGTTCAAGTCTGTTCCACGAGTCACTCGTAATAAAACTCAAGTAAAACGCATGCAGAGTGCAAACTGAGAGTGTAACACAAATAAAATGTCAAATTACGCTCTTTACATAGATTTTCATAGAATAGCTTTGTGTAAAGTCTGGTAAGAACACTAGTGCCGCTAAAATAAACAATACAAAAATTTATTTCAAACCAAAACAGCTGATTTACATATCAACACAAATTTTATTTAAAATAAAATGTAAGATTAAAGTTTGTATAACATTTTCAAATTTCGTCGATATGCTTTGCTATGCTCAAATATTTTTGTTTAATTACGTTTTACAGTAGATAGGAATATGAATAATTCCAACTGAATTTTAATTAAAAATTTAAATAAATGAATAAGTAATTCAAGTAAAAGTTCAAGTCAAGTAAAAAAAATAATGAAGATCGATACTTATAATTATACTAATTTTAATTTTTTGTCTCGTTCTAAGAGAATGGTTAAATAAAAATTTTTAAGCAACATATAATTATATATAGTATGCAATAAATTGAGAGATAAAATATATTGAAATATATTTTCACTTTAAGTACAAAATGACACGATTCTTCGATCGCAAAAGAATTAATCACACCTAAAACTTCTCTTCTCTCAATAAACTTCCTCTCTACTCTTCTCCCAATGGCAAAGTTTCTGGACCTGATTGAATAATAATCTATCTCGCTATTCTGTTTTCTACCCTAAAGATGCATAAGCCTGAACGTAACAATAACCTATGCTATAAAAAAATTTCAGATGTACATTGGAAGCATCTATCATAAGATTTATATTTATTCCACTTCTTTATCTGAAAGCGTATAATTAACCATTACTTGAACTTAAACATTGGAACCATCTTTATTAACAAATATATATACTAAGTTTCCTCCTTTGGAGGTGTATAACTATTTAAAAAATAATAATGTTAACTCCAAGGTAATTTCAGAACATCATTGGAAATATCTCTCATGATCATAATCTCATATAATAATTAAGTAAAAAACTTGGAATTTTTTTTTTCGTTTTATTTTTTGGTATGACAAAATTATTGGTTTTTTAATATTTTTGTTTATTAGAATATTTAAATAATAATAATAATAATAAATTTAACATATTACTTGATAAAATAGTATATATATAGATGTTGATTTTTATTATAAAGTATGATTAATTATTATTACATATATGCATATTATATTATCGTATAATTTACGTATAATTTTTATTTTTATATATAATTAAGGTTACGAATAGAGAAATATATATATTTATATATATGTCAATATATATATAATGATATTTTAAATTTTATTATACTAGAAGCTAAAAACAAATTTAATTTTTTAATTAAAACAAATTTCAATTGTATATGTAAAAATAATACATTTAAGTCAAGAGTAAAAATATCATGCGCTATATTCTATATAATTACATTGCAAATAATAATTAAAATACATTTTAGTATTTAGTATTTATATATATATATAAATTAATATTTGTTTTCGTATCGTATTATTTTTAAAATATACTACTTTAAATACTACACACACATACGAACATTATATATACGAACATTTTGTTTCATATATCGACTGAGTTTATTATTTTGTATAAATGGACTACTTTTAGTTTCTGTTTTTTTTTTTAAATTATGTAATAAATAAATTATTTAGTATCTATGTATATCTATATATGTATTAAATTTCTTTAAGTGACACATACATTTAATATATTAAATATATTTTTGCTTAAATTTTTTATCATCATAATTTAAAGTTTTAATTAAATTAAAATAGTTTTAAATTTTTTGGTGTGAGTTTGTTTATATAGAGACTACATTAAATGCTACATTTTTATATATTTGTATATAATATATATATAATAGTATTTATAATTATTTATTAAATTAATTTGCAATTTGAAAGCATTTTGTCAAGCTTGTGTTGTATGAATACCATAAAACATTTTATAAAAATATGAGATAAATAATTACAATTGCTTTAAATAATATCTTTGGGTAATCATTATTTTAAGTCAAAAAGTATTAGTTAATTTAAATACATAATTTTGTGAAATATAAAAATTAAATTCTAATAGCAAATTTATTAACGAAATTACATTTAAATAAAACAAATTAAAATAAAAAAATGTTAGTTAATAAATAAAAATAAGTAAGATAAGATAATTTTAGTTTAATTAATAATATTAATTAATTTTTTTAATAAAATTAATAATAGATTTATTTGTAAAACGCGTTAATTTTTTTTGTTATATATAAAAGAGTTTTTTTTTTAATATACCAAGTAACCCGTTTTACAAATATATTTATTAGTTTTGGTCACTACTAAATAATAAAATAGAAACAAATTTTAAAAGTTATAAAAAAAATAAGAGTTTATATGCTCCAGTTTTATTATGCACACTTAAATTAAGTAACCCTTAAGTGCTCGATTTAATCACTTAAGTGCCACTTAAAATTCGAATAATTGTCACTTTTTTATAAAAGCGACAATTTAAGTGCGCGTTTGAAATTGAAAATAAATTATACTTTTTAGACAATTAAAAATAAGTCAAGTCATAAAAAAAGTAATGAATTACTTTTAAAAAGTTAAAAATGCTTTGAAAATAAACCAATATAAATTTAAAAATAAAAAAGAGTTGCTCTTAAGTAAGTTTTTTATGCAACAGTAATTCGAAAACAAATATTGTCAAATATTAAAGAAGTTTAATTTATATAAAAAATAGTTAATTAAATTCAGAGGGTGTGTTGAAGAAAAACTGTTTTTAAAAGATCTGACAAGTTGAATTCGAATCTATATATTCAAATATATATACGTATTGAAATATATATATATATATTCAAAATATATATTTGAATTTTTAGTTCAGTATTTATGACTGTAAACTTTAATATAAAATATCTAAAGCTTTTCAAATGAAATAATTATTGATAAAAAATTATATTAATAAATGATTAATAGCTTAAAAATTTTTTTTTGATAATATTTAAAAATCTATAGTCACATTGTGTAACAAAGCAACGACGTCTGACCTCTATTGTAGGTATGTACGAGAATATACATATATATAAGTAATTATGCAAAATAATTGAAATTTAATTGTAACCTTTTTCTAACATTAAAAAAATAAATGTAAGTGTATGTGTGCAGTGTTTTTTAACAGATAAAAATATTCTTAATTTTATACAATTTGTTTAAATTGAATGAACTTTGTTTAACTTCAATTAAATTAATCATTTGTTGTTTTGTAATAACATTCTAAAATATTAAACATTTTTATGACTAGATTATATAGATATTTGTTTATCATTCATTATCTTTAAATATCTTTAGTTTAGTGTAATTGAAATGTAATGTTTTAATTATACTTAAATTAATAAAAAATATTTAGTTTACTATGCATAATGCTTATGGTCGTCTTCTTTACATTTAATGAGTAATTAGCTGACTGAGAATTCCAGCTATATTCAAGCGTTATATAAAATTATTAATTTAATGTATAAATTATTTGCCTTTAGATATGATGCTAATGATTTTTAAAAATATTTTAGAATAGTTCTCCCCCATTTTTGGTACTCTCTCCTATAACTGTCAAAACAGTTTACACCTTTCCATCTTTCCATAATCCTTGCTTCCTTAATTTCCTGACACATTTTCACTTCACCCAGCTCTGTTTATTTTCGTTTAATGAAATTTCCTTCAGCATCGAGCCATAAATCGAAGCCACCACCTTTGCCATCTGCATTACCAGCCCCCGCCCCGTTCCTTATTATTTACCTATGCAACGCGTTCGTTATCTGTTTGAGTGACTGACCGACTTCGTTTATCAAACGCTCGTTGTCTTGCACATTTTTACTACCAGCTGTGCGCAAATTCTGGGATTGAGTCTCCACGCGCGTTACCAACTCACGAAAATGGAATTTGGAATGCGGTGGCATTGATTCGTTGTCTGCGAAAACTACGCAACTATTCTGTAAAATATTTAGCTTATCACTTAATTGCAACCATTGCGAAGCTGATATGGAACTAACTGGATGCTTGAGAGTACCTTCAAGTAGACCAACTAACTCCAATATTGATTCGCGTGATATTTGTGTAGAGTTTATGGCTGTAATCGGTGTTGAATTAGCATCGAGGGTACCAGCTGCTATTTTCTGTGCCATAGGTGTTGCATAAATTGTAAGCTTGGTGGGTTTCAATGGAACGGCGGGTTTGTTCAAATTAGTATTGTTGACGTTCGATATTGTGGACGCAGTTAATTTGTTATTTGTGTTATTCGTAGTGTTCTCTACGTATAGCGATTGTGACATGATTTCGTTGTTTGTCGTTGTTGTTGTGGTATTGGTTGAGTTATTTGATTCAGCGCTTTTCTCTCCATTGCTATCTGCGAAGAGTTGTGTCGAAACGGAAGTGGTTAGTTGATAAGTTGGATTGTTGGTTGAACTTTGATTATTGCTACTGGTATTGTTGGTCGGAGGTGGTGGTGGAGGTGCTGCTGGTGGTGGTTTGTTTGTTGTGGGGTTGTTGGATCTAGGTGAGGTTTGTGTGCTAATGGGTGGAAATCTATTTTGATTTGCAGTAGGTGTAACTAAGACATTTGAGGGTTTCAAACCGAAGTTGGGGGATAGTTGAGTGCTGTTAGTGTTTGTGCTATTTGCAGGTTGAGTGCTGGCATAATCAGCGCCACCCCCAGGTTGCTCCCACAGCTTTTTCAGACTACTTATACTACCTGTGCTGCGACGTTTGCCACCATCAATGTCACTGCTAGTGCCGCTGTAAGTTGTGGAATCTACAACATCGTTTGCAGTTGTTGAGTTGAAACAATTGGTATTCGTATTGGTGTTTAAATTAACATCATGAGCATTGGAATTAGAGTTAGAATTTGCATTGGAATTGTTTACGTCAATTTTGATTTCAGTCTTGTGAGTTGTTTGCACATTTGCAGCATTATTAAGTGTCGTAAATTTCTTTTCGTCTTTTCTGTTGAGTGCCCCAGAGGAATTACTATTTTGCGTCTTTTGGGTGTGATTATTTTGTTTAGAGTTATCATCGTCCTTCTTACTGTTGTCTTTTATATCTTTGTCAACTTTACGTAAGTGAGCTTTAAAGTCAATGATTGTAGTCTGATTCTCATTTTTTGCTACAGGCATAGATAATTTCTTTTGATCCACCTTTTTTAATTGCGCCTTAAAAGTATTTGTATTACCACTGCTTTGTTGATTAGAATTATTCGTATCAACAAGTGTTTTTTGAGATAAAGAGGATTTTTTTGGTAAGTTCATACTTTCAGCTAATTCTGTGACTAAAAGCGACACAGGATCTACGCCGTTGGCAGGAGCATGTATGCCATTTTGTGTATTTGCACTGCTGGAGGAATTTTCTTTGGAACGATCTTTTATTTCTGCCATTAATTTTTCTTTCATAATCAGTTCTTGAGTATTACTTGTTACTCCATCTGGTGGAGAGCCTAAAGAGCTACAAGAATCAGTAGAAGGTTCACGTTTACGTAGTGAAACGCCAAATCTTGAGCTAGCTTCCTCCACACTAGGGGCTGTATTGGAGACATCGTTTACACTGCTATTAGGTAATGTTATCTGTGAATTAGCATTAACTGCTGTCGTCAATTCGGGCGCTGGTGGTGGCGGTGGTGGAGGTGTTTCAAATTCCTCTGGTGGTGGTGGCAAATCTAATGGCGGTGGTGGAAATTCTAAATTGGCCAATGCTGGTTGTTGTCCGCGTTTTGGTGAATTACTGGAAGATGCGCCACGGAAAGAAGAGAATGTCATTATAGTGCCATCAGTTGCAGTGCGATGGCGTTGCAATTTATTTAAACTTGCTGAAGCATTATTTTGCATGGTAACACCACTAGATGAATTGCTACGTATCATTTGTTGTGGTGGTGTTGACGCATTTGCAACAGTTACGAGTTTCTGAGCAACTGCAGGAATCACAGGTGGTTGCTGTCTAGACGGATGTAATATATGACCATTTGTGGTTGCCGCTGGAGGCACTGGTGCATTTGTAGGTAATGATGTAGTTGTATTCTCTAAACTGTCTAGAAATGCACCAATACGCTGTACTTTCGGTAAAGTTCCATAGCGATTAACAACGCGTTTGACATTCATTACTTCTAGTGCTCCTACAGTTATGGGATGTGGTGTACCATTTCCACCACCACTGCTACTACCGCCACTATTGCTATTCTCTCGTGATGGATGTTGTTGTGAACGTTTACTTTGACGTGTTTCTAAGCCACGATTACCCATGACCGGAGTGAGTCTCTTAAATGAGCTATGCTGTTGTGAAGTACGTGAACCAATATTATTGCCATGTAAAGAATGTTGCATTTTATTTTGTGGTAAAATACTTTGCTCCAAACTATCACCAGTTGCATCTGTATCTGGATCACCTGCATTGTTGTCATTCTCTGAGTCATACCGGTGCGCTAAATTATTTATGTCGCGTGACAGACCTTCAGAAAAAAACAGTAAAGTAAAAAATAAAAAAAAAGGAAAATTTATTAGTTAAAAAGAAATTATTATTGAAAAGAATTTAATAAGATTAAGAGCTTATAAAGATTACCATGAGTTAAAAAAATTTATGAAGCGAGCACAAACTATTTGGTCAGTATTTGTCCTAAAATCATTTTTTAGTTTATTTTATATATTTATTATTAGCTAAGTAAGACTTTATTTATAAGAATAAATAAATTAAATTAACAAATAAATTTATAAGAAACAAAATACACTGATAGATCAAAAACTATAAATTTACATAACAAAAAATTGGAGACAGAAGTATAAAACACACAAGTTGTGGTAGTAGTTACTTCTTAAACGAATGTATAATGTAAATTTCGAAAAGTAATATTTTTAGTACACCTAATCTACGAAAAAAATGTATAAAAATGATTTATTATTAATTAGAAGGATTCGAATAGCAATGAAAAGACAACAAACAAAAATTTTAATTAAGTTATTGAAATAGGAATGACCATACAACGCTGTTTTAAGTATTACCAACGTACAGCGTGGTATGGTCAGCCAAATTTCAATAAATTAACTAAAATTTTTGTTATTGACTTTTCATTTCTATTTGAATTCTTCTAACTTCTAAATAGTTTCTTTTCGTCATTAGACGCGTCACTTTTGGGAAGAAAAAATTAACATTATTTATTATTAATTTTTTTAAAATTATTTTAATAATGAAAAAGAACTTATTTTGGTTGATAAAATGCGAGTTAGTGTCGAAAACACTTTTACTCAATAATGTCTGTGACCATTTGGAAGATCCACTGTAATAAGAATTTTGATGAATTTTAATTATATCTTATTCCGATGATTTTATAGAATTATAGTTGGAAGTCCAGCATATCTTCCTGATGGAATATATATTGTATTTAATTTTAAAGAGTACAATTCTGAATTTGTGTGCGCATTCACAAAATCAAACAATGTCAGCGCTCTGTAAAAGAATTTTTAATAGAACACCTATCACCTATTTACTATTACAGTGGAAACTCTCTTATTCGGACATTCATCGTCAGGCAACATTCGTTCGTTCAAGAGAATACCTACCCAAAGGGTTCAAAACAAAGTTTGTTTTTTTAAGAATATAGTAATATTTATGATAGATGTTTATTCAATGGAGTTGTCTATTAGGAAAGTTTTCACTGTATTTGACATTTTCTTGAATATTCTATTATTATTATGTAAATAATCACAGTTTCTAAAAATGATATTAACATACATTTTTATTTATTTCATATACACTATTCGTTTTATTGGCAATTTGCTAAAAATTTACGAATTGGAACTTGTAAAGATAAAAGATCGTAGATTTTATAAAGATATAAGATCGTAAATATTTTCTAATGGTCATAAAGTGTAAGATTTAATTATAATTATTTTTTTCTCTTTATATTAATTGTAGTTTCTGCTTTAAATGTTATATTTAATTTTATATTAATACGCATAATTATTTGTTAAAATTTAACAGACTAACAGAAATGCACCAATATTTTTGAAAAAACTCCTAATCAATGAATTTAATTGACACTTCTGGAAATATTATTTAGAATGTTTTTTAGATTTAGATTTAGAATGTTTTTTTTTTGAAAACAACTATAAATCATTCTAAAACCATTACAGTACATTTATGTGCATAAATTTAATAGCATGTATCCGAAAAAATAAAAATTTAAATATTAATATAAAAATGATTAGAACAAACATAAAGCAAATATTAAATCAAATTAATCATAGAACAAATAAACAAGTTAAATTAATAAAAAAAAAATATGTATATTTATCTAAACACAAGCAAAACAAGACAAACCAATCACAATGTACATGTAAAGTAATCTTACTCAGTTGACAAATACCTCGAAATAGTATATCGATAAGGAAACTACTGCAAGAGGACGATTTTTTAATAGAATACTGAGGAGGATATGTTGGATTAGGTTTGTAATTTTTATTAAATGTACCAAAGGGTACAACACTTTTGTGAAATATGGAAGAGATGCTACTACCATTTGTATTCAATTCGTCAATTAAATTGCGCGAATCATCCTCACGATAAGTAGAATCACGACTTGTTGATAGCAAACTGTAAATATTCAAATTTAGTTTATATTGAAAACTCAAACAATAATAAGTAATTTATTTAAATAATTTTTATTACTTACCTTGTTCGTTTTGGTGGCGCAGGTGCTTGTTTGCCTTGCTTATTTGTTGTCCGACGCATTTGCACATTACCCTTACCCTGACTGGAAAATGTACTCAGTTTTGTTGATGTGGAACCAGTTTCTAAATATATAATACAGTATCTCTTATTAAATTGTACAATTTTTAGAAATTTTATATTATAAATATATTACCTGACATTGGTGTGCTCGCCTGCTGATCGTGATGACCACCTGGTGTTAGTCCAACGCCGCTACCACTTACCATTGACGGCACACCTTTTTTACCCATTTGTGGCGTAAGGCTCTGTGTTGCAGCTGTTGTTGTTGTAGCATTCAGTTGTTTCTCGACCGCTTCAGTTATCGATGATTCCTGCAGATCGAAGAAAACGAGACGTTGTCGTCCATTATTATTATTTTTCATACAACGTATTTTCATATTAACATCATTATGATCAACGATATTATCGTTTTGATTTACTAAGGCGGCAGCATTGTGTGCACAGCCATGATCATCAGCTAGTTCAAATCAAAGCTCAATGCCATCATCATCTTCATTATAATCATCATCACAATTATCACCACCATCTTCATCCCATACATCACCCACCTGAAACATATGCTCCAGAGCATGGTGTATGCTCTTAAATGAAGGCCTATCCGCTGCATTCCACTGCCAACATTGACGCATCAAATCGTACACTTCTGGCGGACATCCTGGCGGTCTTTCCATACGGTAACCCTTCTCTAATTTATGAAATACATCTGTGAGATCAATACCAGGATATGGAGACATTCCATATGTAGCAATTTCCCATAACAGCACTCCAAAAGCCCAGACATCTGATTTTGTGCTAAATTTATTATATGCCAATCCCTCGGGGGCGGTCCATTTTATGGGAAATTTAGCACCAGCATGTGCTGTATAGGTGTCATCACGCATCAGCCGCGCCAGACCAAAATCTGCTACTTTTACAAGTTTATTATCACCCACAAGGCAATTGCGTGCCGCTAAATCTCGATGTATATAGTTGCGAGATTCTAAATAGCTCATACCAGAGGCAATTTGAGTGGCCATATAAAGAAGCGCAACTGCATCTAGTGTTTCACGGCCGGCAGAACGCAAAAAATCTAATAAATTGCCATGTGACATAAATTCGGTGATAATATAGAAGGGCGGCTCTCGTGTACATACACCTAAAATAAAAAATAATTAATATATGTGTATACAAATATAAATAAAATATTAAATATATTTATAAAAATAAAAAACTAACAAATTTAACACACTGGGGTTTCATAAAATATATTTTAAAACCTATATAACTGAAGTGATTGTGATAACCATACTTTTAGTAAATTGCAGAGAATTACTATACTTAAATTCAATGGCCCTCATATAACCTACTTTCTGATAGTATTTGCGAATTATCACTGGTAATTGAGGACTTCAATATTGTTGGGTTAGGATGGGTCTCCGATTCTAGCCAAAAGAAGAGAAACCATGCCTTTAATTGGTCAAGAAGATTTGTCCGATTTCATAAAATATTACTAATACTGTTACTGGTTCCGGAATTAATTCTGAAGCTTAGGGCCTCCAAAATCCCACCAACAAGAAATTTATAAAAAAATGGGGGAAAAAGAAATTTGGAGATTACTGACTAAATAGTGTTGGCTAACGGTAAATACTTTCTCATCCCAGAAAAGAGAATATCAAAGAAATTACTTTCAAATTATTGCAACCTAAGGTATCACTTCAATAAATTGAGTATTTCTGAAACTGATATCTGAAGAATCTACTAAATCGATTTCAAGAGCGCAGAACGCTTAAAATTTATTGAATCTAAATATACAGAGATAACAGTTAAGACTAGGCACAATATATCAATACATAATAATAATAATCAATAGAATTTTTATGCAAATATTTAACTGGGATTGGTCAGGTGAATGAATGCAACCTGGACAAATTTATATATATACATATATTATTTAAAAATTAAACTTTGTAATATGTACAGTATTTATTTAATGTGTCTTTTCTTCAGTGAACAAAGTTTTAAAGTTTAGAAAACCATAATGTTATAATTGATTTTTTAATAATCAATGCTAAACAGAAAGTTCTACTTTTAGGTAATTAAAAATATTTTGCATTAATTTTTAACTACAACTGCTTTTTCATTTACATTAATTATCCGTAATTAAACCCATTGTACTAAACTTTTAATTATACTCCTTCTTGCCTTTCTTATGTACAAGACATCAGTGTTGCAACGTTTGCTGTACAATGTAAAGCATTTCACCACCCAAATTGGGTGGCGCACTATGATTGTTTAAATAAATTACATACCAATTAGTTGCACTAAATTTGGATGTTTCATCTCCTTCATAATGGCAGCCTCATCAAGAAAATCCTTAAGGGCCATTGTGTCCTCCTTAAGTGTCTTTACAGCTACTGTATTGCCATAACGTTTCCATATAGCTTCGTATACTTCACCATATTGGCCTCCACCCAATTTATGTTTCATTACAATATCAGTACGACAAATTTCCCATTCATCTGGTTCTGGGCTTAACGGGAATACTGTTGGTTTATTTTGCTTTGGCGCTGGGTATAATAATGGTGTAATCAGTCCATGTCCCTCATGTGGTACACTATGATGGTGTACTAATTCTGCTAGTGTATTAAATTTGGCTTCAGCTGTCACAAATACTTTGCCATCCGGATCTTCTGATATTCGATAATGATAGACGCGACCTTCATATCTGCAAAAAAAAAATCATAAAATTAAAAATGGTGATATTGGAAAAAAACGTTTATTGTACTTACCTTAAACTAATACTTCTTTGACCAGGTGAACTTTCACTTTCACGTACTAGAAAACTACCATTTATACCTGAACTGAGCAAATATTCAGCCGCGTTGCGTGATATAGGCCCATGATACCAAGAATGTTTCTCGAGTGAGTTTAGTGGTGTTACATAGTTTGAAGGCACCCAACCGACATTACCAGAATCTGAATGTGCCTCACACCATTCACCAGATTTGTTATATGATAAAATGCGGACTTGTTCGCCTTTTTTAAGACTTAATTGGTTCTCACCGCCTGCTTGAAAGTCGTATAAAGCTACGAATAATTGCGGATCATCTTCTTCGGGACCAGGCGCTAAGAGATTTTCTTTGGATGTCCAACGATGTGCTGACTCGAAACCAGATGTGGCGGAACTATGTCCTTGACTATGATTTTGTGTGTGCAGAGATATGCCATCTTGACTTTGCGTATGTAAGTCTGCGTCTGTGAGTAATGTCGTACCAGGGGGAATATGTGGCAGAGGTCGGGACTGTAACAGCGCTTCTGTAAGATACAAAAACAAGCAGATATTTAATAATTAATGATTTTATCTTAAATTAAATTATTTAAGAATATAATATGAAACAGTTTTATATAACATAAGATAATTATTTCGTTTTTGTTATCACTAGTGAGAGTGATTTAATTGACAATTGCATCGCATATTGTTAAGTGTAATTAAGAAGATAACGACCTTAAATACATAATCAAGTAAATTCTTGTTAGTTGTGACATTAAAAAGCTACAAACAAGCGTTAATTGCTGTAACTATGCACCTTTATTAATATTGCAACTGCTTACTTTTTATTAGCAAATGGTGAATTGTGTTTTTTGTTGCTGTTCCAGTTCATCTAACGTTGCGCTCTAATTTGCTTTTTAGATACAAATAAAATGCTATAATGATATAATGGGAAGCAAAACAACTTCAACAACAATGATAATCTTGTCGTCATCACTGATGACAACAAAGAGTTTAACTTAACTATGGCTAACTTAATTATTAGTCGATTGTTAGAAATGTTGCAGTAATAGTAATGTTTGAAAAAACTATTCACATCTGTTTCTGCATCAACGTCAACTCATTCCATACTTGTACCAGTACGTGTCCATGCATGCACCGCACTAGCAGCTGAAAATCAAATCAAGCTGCAATTATGGACCGTTTGCTGCTCAAACCAGACCACATATTTATATGGATTTTCTGTTATTGTAGTTGCTGTTGTATGTGCGGCTGCTGGTCTCATTTCATTCTTTGTTCTTGACAACAGATTGACTTTGTACTGCAACGTAGATAAATGCTGTTTTGCCTTTTTTGTACCTCAACAAGAATTTTATTGAATTCCTTCAACCATTAACAATTTATCAAAGTTTCAACTATAAAAGGATGCAGAAACGTACCCGCACATATTGAAAACTACACCAACAGGAAAGGGGAAGTCAAATTTAGATATAACGAGGAAAAAAGAATAATTGAACTGTGACAATTATTAAACTTTATTTTTTTTTTGTTTGAAAACTCACATTGTTATCAATTCATATCGAAATGAGAATGAATAAAATTCAATAGGGAAAACATGGAATGAGATATAGTTGTGGTTTTGTCACCTAAACACAATTAAGGTTTTGTATAAAAGTTGAAAATTTTAGTTAAATCCAATGAATTAATTTATGAGTATTATAAATAAATTTTTCCTTTTTGCTTGCAGGCGTAGATCATTAATAAATTTAATTATATGAGAATATCGCTTAATTAGTTGATTAAAAAAACAATTTATCATTAAAAGAACCTTGTTTTCTATTAAAAGTATATTTCATCGTGTCATTTCAATAATTTCTTGTTGTGGTTCATTATGGGTCATATTTGCTTAATGTAATCCTGTAAGCAGAAAGAATGTGTATTCTGCGTACCATGTTAGAGTTGATAGTGAAGAGCGACACTGACATTGGAGATAAGGTGAAACCAGTTCTGAGAAGGTCCGTGAACATAAGATACGCTCTGCCTATTATATTGGCATGAGCTCTATAGTGGGAAGTGAAATATATATAGTCAAATTTAGAATGAACTGAAGTAAGTTAATAGACCTGCGAGAAGTACGAAGAAATGTTTTCAAGATTCTATGACCTTGATGAGATGAATAAATCAAGGTTACAAGTAAGTGCTTAGTGGTATAACTAAATTAATATATAGATCAACTTGATGTTAATCTTAAATTAAACAAAGGTATAAGCGTATATTATTATTGTTATAACTCGTATCGTTCTAGCATGTTTGTAACCGATGAAACATGACGGAATAGCACTTACTTGCCATAGATCGGTGATTCTAGAACGTGGTTTAGCTAATCATAGAGCACACCTACTTTCTTTTGAATTGGTGCCATAAGAATATTTATAGTTTCTTATGGTTTATAGTTTATTGCAAGCTTATACAAATTTAAAATTAATTCTCAAATTATGGTTCATATAGGGAGTATCGCAGAATATTATTAATTCATTGAGTTCCACATACAAGGACTGAAACTATCAGTTTATTTATAATAGAAAACAACCTTACTTTGTAATCCAAATAAAATATAATTTCTTACCAAAAATACAACCCAGATATTTTATATTATTTTTTAAAATGACTGTATTTAAGATTTGATATATAAATTTTCTTGAGTTTATTTTATGCTTTGAATCTAATTATACATCATTGAAAAAATAGCACACAATTATATGACATCAGTCATTTCAGAATTCAAATATACAATTCTTAGAACTGTTCTTAGAATTAATCGCTACTTAAAATAGTTCTAAGAGATTACGGTAACGATAGTAGTAAATTTGTAACGGAATCCAAAAACGAACCCAAAATCTTTTATCTAAAACTGTAGATATGACGTCGTACGAATTTTTTCTCTTTTTAAACTTAATTTATCACTTCTCAGTTTTGTAAGATGACGGGGACAATAGAATATAGAATATATAACAAAATGAAAATTAGGTTATGACGTTATCCAAATGTAAACTCTTATTGCATGAAAGAGTTATGAGAGACTAAGATAAAAGTGGATTCAAAAACAATACAGAAATCCATTATTGGGAAATCTAGATATAAAGTTATGCAAATTCTTTTCCTTTTAAGAGCTTATTTTTTATCACTAATCAGATAATTAGAATTATCAGATTTTTAAGAAAACTGAGAGATTAAAACTGGATTGGTAGAAAAATCTAAAGCCGTACCAACATTTTTAAGTACAAGAAATTCTCCATAACAAATTTGAAATACAGATTTTTGAAGAGATATTATGTATATAAAGAAGTTAATATCTTTTTAGAATTTAATTTGTCACTTTTCGGAAAACTTTTAAGAAGACTAAGAGAATTAAACTCGATTTATAGGTAAAATCAAAGCTATACCGAAAGTTTGTAGTACAAAGATTTTTATCCAGTGCATAGAAATATATATATGTACCGGAAATGTAGATTTTTAAAGAGATATTATAGATATTAAGGAAGTTAGTTATAAATTTTAAGCCATTTTAATTATTTTGAAAAAGAATAGTTTAAGTAGTAATGTGTTTAATCTAATATCTATATAAATCTATATAATTATTTAAGCTTCAACAATTGCACTAAAAAGTTAGAAATTCGTAGACCTGGCAAAAAACTCATTAAGACATTCCATTATAGAAGTCTGGAAACGAATGAGGTATGCGGATACCCCGCTGAACCGCTGTAGTTAGTTTTAAAACTTAGAATTGCATATCTGGATCTGTGGCAACCATGTCTGTGGCGTATGTGTTATGTATACAAAGCGGGAAGTTTTGTGAGGCTGACTCATTATTTATTTCCAAATACGAGTAGGTATTGAAATGGTTATTAGGTGTTATCGGTCGATGTTAACAATATATAGTATTTTATTAATAGTTAAATTATTTCGTTACACAAGTTATAATATCTTTCCACTGGCTTCGTTAGACCAGTGAACTTACTTGAGATTGCTTGAATTACTTGAATCTTAAGTAAGTTAACTGTTTTAACGAAGTCAGTGGAAACGTACTATTAGTGTCAGTCAATAGCATATTCGTTTAATAAAATAAATTTAAAGAAGTAAAGACATTTATGTTAGGAATAATTTATTTTCTTTTCTCTTTTAAAAGCAGTCTGGTAATTGCCTGAGTAAACGTCAAATGGATTATGGATCAGTTACAGGTACCAGCTTGCACTAATTGCTCTTATCATTTAGTTAACTTTGCTATGTAAACCAACCTTGAAGTTTTTTCTTAAAAACCCAAAGAAAAACTTATTAGTTTAAAATTATTTTTCCATTTTTTTTGTTTTGTTAATAACTTAGAGTATATTTTTGCTGTTAAAGAAGAGAGAAAAGGTCTTTTAAATTTCAATTTATTTTGTAAAAATGCAGAAAAGTCAAACAAAGCGCAAGGCTAAAGCACGTCAAATACAAAGGCAGAACACAAACTTGTTCCATGAATTTTTAATAAGAACGAAGCAGTAAAAAACTGTCTTTCATTATGAAAAGCAAAAAAGTGGTCCAAGTACAGAAAAAGGTAATGACGAAGGAAGAAAGATACCCAAACAGGTATGCCGAGTACTTAGAAGTATGGAATGCAGACAATTTGTGTTATGTTTTCATTGAGGAAATAAATTATTTAAAAAAAAAGTTGTAAATGTGGTATTGTGTTTTTCCTATTGTAGTTTCAGTGTGGGAAGCGCCGGTGCTTAGAGAGAACATAATGTAAAATTCATCGGTATTTTGTAAAAAACGAAGGAAGCTATTAATTGTTTAATTATAAAAAAGTATATATATATATATATTTATTACTTAAGAACTTTACAAATATAAAAAAAGCTTAAACCAATTGTTAATTGATATCATTAAAAGTTTTCAAAACTTTTTTAAAAATTGATATAAAAACTGCATAGTGTAAATATATTTATTAAAAATAATATAAAAATGAAAGAGAATTTTAGATTTTCTCTATTATTTAGTGTTTAATGCTTTTTACTTGCATTAAAAAGGAAATAACTTTTCCCTAAGAAAAATTATAATTTAATATTTCCTCACAAAGTTTTCAAGTATCTGCTTACAGATTCATTAAAAAGTTTCAGACTCTTTCAAATGAAAAATTTTAATACAACTTTAAAGTTTTCTTTTAACTTCAAAATAATTAAAAAAATTATCAAAAAAATTTAAAAAAATCTGCAAATCATTTACTAAAAAACGCTGTTGTGTTTATATAGTATTAAAAGGATTATTAGTCAATCTAAATATCAGCAACTAAAAATATTGTTGATTGATCCGCGTTAGTTTTAGAATACAAGGTTGCGAACCTTGTTATAAGTGTCTGTCCTACGTTAGAAATTCTTTGTTGTTGAGTCATACAGTCGTATGTGATATATTACTAATGACGATAATATGTCTGGTTTGCCAGTTACAGTACTTCGCCGTCGTTAGTCGAGACTCTTGGGACTTTATAAAGCAATAATAGAACCGATAT